GGGGGGGGGGGGGGGGGGGGGTTGAATAGGTTTTTCAACGTTAGCCCCAATTGATTACAAATTAAAAACCTATATATACCACAATTACTTCTTCTCAATCGAATGCGGAAATTAACGATAAACCTATTTTAATCACCACAACCCAACATAACCATCACAATTGATTTTAATAAATATAGAATTAATTCACTCACCAATCAATCTCACAGCAATCCCAAAAAAAAAGCATCGAACTCAATTTGCACACTATTGTTGAAAATATGTCAATCAATCAAATTCTCAAACACATAGTGCGCGTGTGTGCAAACAATCACAAGTGTATACAATAAACAATAAAGAACACAAGTGATTAACGCGGAAACTCTCCTCGAAATAAACCACGAGAAACCTTCTCAATTCACCAAAGCTTAATCCATTACTCGCTAAGTAAACATACAAGTCCTCGAGACTTATACCTCAACTAATATCATGTTTAAATGCTCATCCTTGTAGTCTCTTCACCAAATACCCTCCTTCAACGTCTAGTATAACTTACTTTGGACCTCTCAGCCGTACGGTTCGTCTAGGCCTCGAACAATCATGGATACGCTAACGATCCTTTGTATATACACATCAATGGATTTATCAAACTATCAACATCTTCTTCTTCAAGTTACGAGGTTGGATAGAATCTCTAGTAATAGACTTTTGGGTCTTAGGGATCTAGGTTGTGGTGGAGGCTCTCAAGGTAGAAATATAATTTTCTTTCTAAGAAATCTCACAAGAAACTGGACCTAGATGTGTGAAAAAATCTCTTTATTTATAGGTCCAGAATAAGGGTAGTCTTAGTAAATGAGAAAACTCAGAATCGTGAATGACCGCTTGATCGGTGGGAAGGCGGTCATAAGGCGGTTGTCACTAGAATAAATAACATGTTCCAATCCTGACTAAGGCTCGAGCGACTATGAGACCGCTCGAGCAAGCTTAGAGAGTGAGTCCTGTGTTTCCTTTCATGGCCTTTTCCCATTTCATTTTCTAAGTCATAAAGAAACCACTCTAACGAAGGCTAACGAGCATAAATTGATCCCTATAGGTTTTTAAGCAAAAAACTATGTAAAAACTTATCCTCTTGAACACTAAAAGATGTTGCTCAAAGAAGGGTCTGATTGTGACTCAAATTATGTTTTTAAAACTCATTCTTTTAAAATCACCTAGGAGTCATAACCGAATTATTTCCAATTCCATTTTCATCCCAATCAGCCTAAGTTAAAAATAATTAAGGGTTCAACTTAGGTGTTTAGGTCATTACCTTGTCATCAACATGAAGATACATATGGAGGTTGAATGATGTTAATTTGACGCTTGATTTCCTCCCTTCAATGACACTTTTGGATCTAAACTTGAAAACATCATAATCATGGAATAGATTAAGATTTACAATGGACTCTACAAAATTTTCTAATTACAAATATGATCTAACATTCTCCCCTTTGACAATTTCGTGACAAAATACTCAAGTTAGAAATCAAGATTATAATTCAAAACCATTAAACAAAAGAGTTGTAAACTAATCTCAACTCTCATGCACAAGTGCTAAAAATCTATCTAGTACAAGGATCTACTTCTTTTGATAAAACTTGAAGATCATAGTCCAGCACATCACCACTCAAACCAAAACCTTGTAAAAAAATCATATGTTAAAAAAAATACATACCATAATCACAGGTTTTGAAAGCACCAAGATAAGTATAGAGCATAAGTATGTATACATTATGCAAGTGCAAATATGTAACATGCTAGAAACTAAATTGCCCAATATACTTGAGAACTTATAAATCTATTAATATGAAACACATCAAGTTATCTCTCTTAGTTGTTTACAAGTCAAATAACAATTGTACAATAAACAAAGTAAAATTGGTGACTTCATTCCAAGTTTGTAAATTTACTCCCCTTTTCTATGTTCACATGCAACATATCTAACGTAGTCAAGAGTAAATCACTCCGATTTCTCTCATATGTATCTAAAATATTTTTGTCTTTTTTGTAACAAATGTCAACCTAATAACAACATGCAATAAGCATGGTACAGAATCAAGTCACCCAACATATTCTTATCTTATTTGCTATAAATGTCAATTCAATGACAATCTATAACAATCATGATATAGAATCATAGTATAACAAGAAGGTATGAATGTCCATCAACTAACCAAATCATGTGAGTAAACTAAGGGACAAACGAGACATTTGACTTAAAGTCAAATATGATTAAGCAACAAGACTAAGAGTGCGTCACAAAAATAAGCTAAACAAATAAAAAATCTACAAAACCTAAAAGTCAACAAAAGCAAAATTAAAAGTATCGTTTCGAAACAGTCAAAAACATCCGAAACATTTTCATTTTCAAGGAGACCGAATCGAATCAGTGATGGAATCAAAATTTTAATACTTTAAGGTATTCCATAATGTTTCAAAATATTTTATCATATTTCAATGCATTTGCACAATTATTTCAAAATGTTTTAAGGTATTTCAAAATATTTTGGTATATTTTGACTAATATTTTGAAAAAATAATTTTTAAATTTTTTATTTTTTTCATTTTATTTTCAAAACGGGTCGAAACGTACATTTCTTAGGTGACCGAAATAATACACAAAAACAAAATTTTGATCTTCAAGTACAGGCCATGAATAAATGTAAAGACACTCTAGCTCGCAAATGACTGATGCTACAAGTCTCTAAAAGCCATAACTCAAATGGTTGCATCTCACCATCATGACGGGACAACTCAATATCAAAATATGTCTCATTAGGTACTGGCTCCAATGATCAATCTCTGTAGATGACCGACTTTCCGGGTAAGACCGAAACACAGCCTGCTGAACTAACTCCATGCTCACGATTCAACCATCCAATGCATCGAGTCTTTGTGAAGTAAGCCTATAATGCTCCTCCATGGGCTGCAGCATTCCCGAAAACATATTGACTACCGATGCTAACTGGACAGCAAGGATGTCTAAACTGGGCACACGCAGTAGTGGTGCTGTCTTAGACATACCAATCTCAAGATACATTGATCGCTCTCCTACTACTTTTCCTCTCTCCTCAACGTAGTTAGCCAGAGCCTTACTCAATTTCATTGAACTCTTGTTCCAAGGCCGCATGGGGTTCTATAATTGGTCACTAGGTAGAATCATAGTACCCTTCCTTTTGTAGATACAAGTAATCAAAGATCTAAAAAGTAATACATCTAATACTTAGCCCCCTAAAAAAGCTCAACTAATATACCTAAAAGTTAACATATGCAAATCAAGACCAAACCCTTTACCTTGGCATAAAACATCTAAGTTTTAGGAACATTGAAGTCAAAAACATAGGTATTCGGCTCAAAATTGTAGTTTGCTATAAGATTAAGCATCCTCTCCTCTGAGGCTAATGATTTTTGAAAGAATTTTGAGTCACCAATATTTAGGATGATCAAAGCCATACAGTTCAGTAGCAATACACGAAGAGGAAGCAATAGGTCGGTCAGGCCCACACTAAATTAATTGCTCTCAACCCTAGGTAGATCCAGTACGATAGCAATGAGGTCTATAGAAAAAGTGAACTTGATCCCTCTAATATAGATAATAAAGTGGTCAATATGAGGATCAGGTTCATTAATCTGAATGTGAGGATAGAATTCCCTCACTATGCTAATCATTCGATGTCACGGGATCATTGAACATCCAAGTCCAACCACGGTTTTGTCAGATTAGTAATAATAAAACGAGTTACTTTCATGGCAGTGATTCCCCGTTCTATCAACACCGATCTATGAGAGAATGTCTACCTAAATCTCCCTGCGAACTCGAGTCAAGAATCAAGTAGCTTCGTTGAAGTTGTCCTCAATTTCATCATAGACATCCTCAAACCTTGGCCTATTTTCTCTTCTTGGGGCCATCTCGACAATCACACTCTAAATCTACTTGTGTGACTTTTGATACTAGCAAAGAACCAACCTAAGATTTCCTGAGAAAGTATTTTGGGAGCTTGGGACATGATTGAGTGGGTTTAGAATACTACAAGACCTGTTAAAAATCAATTTTCTAACCCTGACCGCAGACTTCCTTGTAATCACTCAAGTAGTGAGAAGACTGATCGAGCGGCTCCACAAACATCACAGTCTTGACAAGTAATCAGATTCAGCTCCTCCTTGGACCAATCTTGTCCCAACATTTTACTCATCCACCCATCCTTCAACCCTCAATATGCATGCATGATTTATATACAATCTCAATGCAATGCATGGATGAATTTGGATAAAAAATGAAGCAAATTTTAATTTCAAACATTAAATGCTCAAAGTTCATAATTATGAAAATTACAAAAATTTACATTTCAATAGCTTCAACCTAAATTTATCATCTCAATACATCACTCTAAGGCATATTTAAAGACATAAAATTCAATTTTATGCATCCGAGAGCAATGTTTCCTCACTTGATTTAATTTCACTTACACGTTTTCAAATTTTGTTCAACTTGGACTAATTCAAATGCAACGTGTGTGAAACCAACCTCCAACACAAAAAGAATTTTGATTAAATTTAAATCATTAATAAGCCTATCATGAAATTCTAATGCATTGTTTATCTTTTCGTTTTCTATCTTTTTTGCTTTTTTTGGATGTATATCGAATAGTCAATGCTATTATTCAACAACCTTTCAACTTTTCAATCTCTCCTCTATATATCTCTTTCTCTGAAAGTTAAGATCAAAATACTTCAATTCCTCTATTTCTCTTTGCCACAAGATTATTGATCCATCTTTAATTTTAAAGTCCATCTTTAATTTTAGATCTACTCCATGCTCAAATCACATATCTGAATCTAGTTTATCAAATATACTAGACTTGTTTAATTCTTGTTTTTGAGAATTTTGTATAGTTACATATATTTTTCATCTTGTTTTCTCAATTGATAGGATCTTAAAATTCTAGATTTGATCCTACAATCCTGATCATGCAGCCTCCCCTAGAATCGAAGATAGGATCTTGATTTTAAAAAAATCTGGTATTCACTGAGAGGACTAAGCATATAGAAGTTGATTGTCATTTTATTAGAAATTTGATAATGAGTAAATAGATTTCTACAATTTATTCCTTGAGACAATACTCAAAATGTTCTTGCCTCTGGCAGCCAATTCTTAATGTCACTCAATCTGGCACATCAAATTTACATAAGATTTCTTCCTTAAAAGAAAGGAACAGTGAAAAAAAATATACACAATACCATAACATGGATTGAAGTACCTTACAGTGAAGGAAGGAGATGTAGATTGGAAAAGGCTTCCAAGGGATTAAAGAAAACTTCTTACTCATATTTAGCAAGTTCCAGTGGAATTCTAATAGATCATATATATGCAACACCAATCTGATCATACAGTCAAACACCAATAAAAGCATCGAAATTCTTTGTGCTCATTGGTGACATGGTGGTTCTAGGCAATGATTCTGTAGAGGTACTTATGCAAAAAGAACAATTGTGAGCCAAAAGTACTAAATGCATGCACACAGTGGACAAGAGATGATTAAACTACTCTCGCCAATTTTGCCCCCCTTTTATACTCTTCACCTTCTTAGCTTTCTTCTTGAAAGATGATCATTATATAAAAGCAACATCGCACTGCCCTTTCTCTTACATATACTCTAATCTTTCACAATTCTCCTGACTCCTAACTCCAGCCAAAATTGGTAAACTCATAGCAAAGTGTTCATGGTTCTTTAGGTGTAGAAATTATAACCCCGACAATGTTGTCAAGATTTTTAATGTATCTCCATCTTTTGCCCCAAATCCTTGCATTCCATCTTAACACCTACTCTATACATCACTTTGATGCATATAAATAAGAGGAAAGACTCCTGAGGGCATGAAAACAGACATACCCATTAAATTGAACAAGCGAAATGGTGACAATTCAAACTTTATCTTCGGAAGTGAAACAAAGGCCCATGATACAGCTCCCACCCAAGGCTCTGATGGTATCAATCGCAACTTGACCCAAAGTTCACCGTCAATATCAAAATCTCGAACTCCCACAGGCACTACAATGGGAATAATGCTGAATTTTAGTGATAGCATCAACAGCATACGAGCACCACCAGTGTAACGGAGACCTATCTGGTACCTTGATAACATCAAAGCAATTAGAGATCAATTAAATTCGCTCACATTTCAAGGCTAGTAAAATAATTCAACATCTTATACCAACAAACTCAAAACTTATCACACGCAATGTTTGAAGAAACATTAAATAAAAATTAACACATGGTGCTCACGTTAAATCAATTTTTTAACATATGATGCCAACAAAAATAAATCATCACAATGATATTTTACAAGAAACACATACTTTCTCCACTAATGTGTAATCCAACTAGGACAATCTCTCAGGTGTTCTGAATAATTTATGAACCAACAACAATAGTCTTACATAAAGCATTAAACTGATCTAGAAAACTCACATAAAACATCTGTGGAACTGTGAGATGTAGAACACACCATATATGACTAAGAAAACAGACTCCCCAAAAGAAGATTAAACAGAGTTAGTTGATTAGCTTCCAGATTTTAGTTGTTTTACACCAACTCACCTTCTTTGTTTTCTCAACAACATAATCATCTTCTCCTCTTTTCTAATTGCATTCCATCACATTATATCTGATCGAAAAAGAACATAATTTTTTTCCTTCTTTTTTGTGCTTTACTACTCTACAACCTCCCAAAAAGGAAAGATGGAAACTAATTATGGGATGCAGAGACTATGATACTGATTCAGTTATACAAGTCAAAGGGTAGGTTTAACTAGGCACAGCATGACCTACTGTGCAAATTTTGACCAAAAAACCATAACAAACAACATCCACTAGTTGCAGAAATCTGTATGAAACAATGGCATCACAAATAACAGTAAAAAATTGCCTTTGGAAATTCATGCAAGGGTGTACACGCAAAAGCTAAATAATCCGCTGCCTTGTTCCAATGCTATATCATCGAAGTGACAAAACTAAGAAGAGAATATCCTGATTTTCGTCTTTAACACTTTTTAAGCTGATACATTGTGAATGAGAAGGACGTTAGACAAATCAAACCTTGAAGCATTGCACTCAAACAGGAAAAACTAAGCATAATAATGAAAGACAATGGACAAAAAAGAACTCAAGTAAACAAGAATTTGTAAAAGCTGGCACTAGAATTTTTGGAATAACTTACTGCAAATCATTAACACGACGAGAAGTTACGCGTTCAACATTCCTAACAGATAATGGCTCGTCCCCCAACGAGAATTGCTTAATTTCAACTCTCTGAACATAATCAGGTTTCTTCAAATTGTCAATGACTGGCTGAAGCAACCCAATGATCCAATTCTCAACACCAGCTCTATAAACCTTCCACAACTTCCCCAACACCATATTCACCCACTCCACGGATTCTTTCCTTTGCAAATCCTTCTCGAGGAACAAAGAAAAGCTCGTAGGGACCTGTGGCCAAATTCCTGGCCTACCCTCATCTCTTGATTTATTTCTTTTTCTTGAAGTCCAAAGCTTATCAAAAACAACCCCAACAAAGAAAAAGAACGCAAACAACCCAAAAATGTTCCGATTAATAGGAGGAGAGGGGATTGGGTGAATCACACCAAGTTGGGTCCTTAGCTTATCTACAAATGGGTCTTCTTGAAAGCTAGTAAAATTATTAGAACCCGTTTGAATAGACTCTTGGGACAATTCTCCATGATCCAATTCACCGGAGAATCGCTTCACTACTATATTCCGCACTCCCCTCCGAGATGAATTGGTGAACTTTATTTTCAAATTGTGGTTTCCACCATCAGTTGGAATCATACATGCCAATAAAATCCATTTTCTCTTAGAATTCGTGTGCAATACAACTCTTCTCCTTCTACAAAATCCAATTGATGGGAAGAGTGTAATTTCACCTATACTTTTACATGGGCAAATTGGTGGGGAGACCCAAAAACCCTGTGACAAACCACAGCTCGAAGAAGTGGATTGCAAAATCATCTAATATAGAGAGATTTGAAAGACCCAATTTGTAGTAGTACAATATGGGCATGAAAATTCCAATAAACGAAGTGGTAAACATGAATTCAGAGCCAGGTTGTGCTATTTAGAAACCTATAAATGCACCAATGGAAGCTACAGTTCAACAAAAACGTAACCTGGGTAGCTTTGGATGCAGGTAAAATGGACGGAGCTTGAGAGAATATTCATTCTCAATGACCACTCACACACACACACGCACACGGAGAGCAAAGCAGAGTTGACGAAAGATACGTAGTTGACACGAAAGAACAAAGGGGTATACTGAATGACAGGGAGAGAAAGACTGTGTTTTGTTTGGACGGAAATAGGTGTTCTCTATGAGAGAGATCTTTAAAGAGGAGAAGATGAAAGTGCATCACGAATTCTGATTTGGGAGGATCATAGAGCGCGCTTCAAAGCCTCAAAAAATGCTAAAACTGGGATAAGAGTAACATTAATGGGAATCGAATCTTTTTTTTCCTTTGGGAAATTTCATTCATATCCCTTATGAATTATTTTATCTTTAAGGACGGCCTTTGTATTATGTAAAACTTCATGGACGCCCCTTGCTATACCAATTACCATCAAAATTAATTCATACACCGTGATATAAATGTCTATATTGGCATTGAAAATTTCCCCAATCCTAAACTTACGTTTTCACCCTGAAAGCAATAGTTTCGGATATTAAATTTTAGAAATATCAACAGTCTAAAAAATTGTCTTAGTGGAACCTTGTGATGAAGTGGCTAGTTGAGGTTTGGTTGGTGGTTCTTTAATGGCTGGGTGGTGTTGCCCAGTAGTGGTAGCCATTATTTCTTTGTAGGGGGTGGTATTGGTGGTTTTTAGATGTGGGTAAAGAATTTCTTGATTTTAATGTTTTATATTTTAAAGGTTTGTATTGTGAAACAAGTGATTGTAGGTGTTTTTGAAAAGGAAACATAAAAGAAAAGGGAGTGCAATAAAATTTTCAATAATACGAGGATGTCTTTAATGTTAGACTAATCCATAGGGGTGTGAATAAATGTTTTTCTTTTTCTTTTGGAATTTGGAATGAACTAACACGTGGGTCGGAGCCGACGCGGTTCCTTTGCTTCTCTTAAAAATTTTTGCTCGATAAAATATTGTGTGCGGTGACATAGTAGACGTCACATATAAAATATTATTCATTCTTAATTAATTAATATTATTTGTGTTGTTGTTAATTTTTTTTTATTTTTAAAAAAAAATTAATTTATAGGTCTAACATGCATGTATTGCGATAATTTTTCATTAAATATAGGAACAATTAAATTCAGACTCTCTGAGATTTACCATGAAAAATTATAATCGAAATCCTGGCATTAACTTGAAATCACGTGCATCTAAAACACATTTTACTAAGATCAATATAGTTGTACGTAAACCTAGAGCAGTAGCATAATGAAACCAAAAGTCTCGAGGACCTATTATTAGAATAGTGAATTACTATTATCATTAACATCATTTAACCAACCAAACAGCCACATGCTTCGACTCACGTTGAATATTGATTCATTCGTTGAAGATAAAAGTATATCGAACTTGCATGAAATTTTACCATGAGCAGATTGTATATTAAACTATAAAATTACTTCAATTAAAGTTAGAATGTATTGTGTCTATTATAATTAGACTTTTTATTTGATTTTTAAGTTTTATTCCAATAAATAGTATAATTGTATACTAATTATAATTTTTTAAGAAAAAAATAGATTTTGATTTTTGATTTTATTTTAATATATGACATAATAAAACAAGAATTTTAGTTATAAATTTTATATTTTATTATGAATGATTTAGATCCCTTGTTTAATTTTTTTGTTTTATTCTAATAGATAATATAATTGTATATTAATTACAATTTTTTAAGAAAAATTGGTTTTTTTAATTTTTAATTTTATTTCAATAAATGATATAATAGTATATGAATTTTGATTATAAAATTTAAAATATTTGATATTTTATCTTTGATTAGAGTATTTTTTATAAAAATATAATATTTTAAACTTGAAGGGTCTAGAGATTGTACGCCTACAAACTTCAAGAGTCTACTTTAGAGGCTCAAAGTATAATTTACTAATAAAAATTTGAGTGCAGGTGTCTAAGTGTTATGCATGTACATATATCAAAAAATTTGTATAATATTTTAAATATTAAAGAATTTAAATGATTAAATGGCAAATCTTAAAAACTTTGAACGGGCAAGGTTACCTGTTACATTACAAGCACACAATATTTTCTCCTTTTGCTCGCAACTGGTGCGTTGTGCCCATTTGAGACTTTTCAAACACATTAGCAAAAGTTATGATTAGATAGAGTTGTGATTGGTCAAAAAATTTTACGGGAGTTAAATTAGGAATGATTTAAAAAAAATTAAATTGTTCCTAACTTCATGAAATCAGCCCTAATGGTCCCTTTGCTACGATGAAAAATTAAAAAGACGAAAAAGTGAAATAATAGAAAATAGAAGGGATGGTAAACTATATCTTGTGTGGCTAATAAAAATTACTGAATTAGTCTTTTTTACTACTCATTAAAATCTATTCCCCTAAAATTAGACCGAAAAGTGGAAGAAAAAATATTTATGTACATTGAAATTTTTATATCCCTTAACATATAAATATATTTAAATTGATCTATTAAAAAGTATATCATTCTCATTTTTCTACAAATTTAATTTTTATATCCATCATATCAAATACTTTATAAATTTTTTATGATTAAAGAATTTTAAACTTAATTTAGTTGTTACTTGATGTCATTAAAACCTAATCTATCTGAAAAAATTTCATTATGATATTTTAAAAGTCGAAACCATTAGTTAAGTGATGTACGATAAAACTGAAAATTAAACACTGAAAATTAAATGTTGAAATTTAAGCTTTAAAATTAATCAATTTTTTTTATGCAAGTCGGTGAACACTTGGACATTAACTGGTGGTATTTTTCCGTGTTTGGGTAGGAGCTGAAGCGGTTGATGGCAGTTACATTTGGCAGCGGATACAATCGTCAGTGGTGATTTGGGTCAGCAACGGACACAATCTTTGTCAAAGGTTGTGTCTCCTGTTTAAATGGTTGCATATCAATAACCATTAGAATGGTTGCATATCGGTAACCATTGGAAGTCTATAAATACATCTTTGATCATGAAATACTTCATCTAAAAATTCTCATAAAACTTTCGATAAAATCGTTGAGTCGGCATATTTGTTTTCTCTCCGAGTGCACGTGATCAACAGTCTAATGATATTTTACCACCGCTTGTATTACGTCTGTGACAATCAGTGGTGTCAGAGCAAGGTTTTATGATGAATACTGATTTTTTGAAAAAATTGTACGGATCAAAATTTAAATATCTTTGATATTGGTTAAGATTATGTCAAAGAGGATTGTGCAAAGATTATTCTGGTAAAATTTTGGGTGAAAATACCTAAGGATTAAAGAGAAAAAGCACTTCGTCGGATTTTCTAATTCACCAGAATTTCTTTTCGCCGGCCATTGGTTTCAACTAAGAAGACAACTGTAGCCTGTTAAAAAAGGCTGCACATTTTCTTGTAAAAAAGTCATCCTAACTTAATTCAAGCCCAAGAAATATCTTTTGATTTAATTCAGGCCCAATTTCTGTCCAAGCCCAATCCAATTTCTTGCTCATTGCAACCTCCTGATTTAATTCAAGCCCAACTGATGTCCAAGCCCAATCCAACCCTTTTGGATCCTTTTCCAAATCAGTTTAATTTTGAACCGGTTCAAACCGATTTAGTACATTTTGAAAGGCCATATCTTCTTCAATTGGACTCCGATTTAGTCCATTCAAAAACCTACAAACTCCATTTTACGAATGCTATCAAACTATAGTTTGGGAATTGAGTTTTTGGTAATTTTGAAGAAGGTCAGTCTTTTGTTCAAAACACTCATTTGTCAAACAAGTCATTATTAAAACCTTAGATACCTTGTTATTGGCGTCATCCTTTCGACAAGTGCATTAATTTCACAATTTCAGATTTGGTTACTTTAGAGATAAATTCTAATCACAAAATTAAGAGGTCACAACCTCTAAGGATCACTAGAGAACTTGTAAGGGGAGGTTCTGCTATACAATTCTTTAACAGTTTTGGGTGTCAGAATATTTTTGCCAAGCGAAAAGAAAAACATATTTCTCCATACAACAAGAAGGCTAATTGACGTGGATATTTGAATCAATATTAATCTAGTCGATTTCTAGAGAGATAAGTAATATTTTTAGCTTTTTTTTTACTTTCAAATAAAGTAGTGGTGGTATTTAGTATTATTTTTGTTATTAGTATACTGTGTTGCATTAATCATTCCTCACAGTTATAGTAGTTGATAGTATTATTAAATTTTCTCATGGCTAGTACATGACGTGTGAATATTTTTAAGGTGGAAAAATTGAACGGTATAAATTATCGTATGTGAAAGCGTAAAATCACTTACGTGCTCACACATGAGAAAACCTATTACACAGTCATTACAGCAAAGTCCAAAGAAAATGTTAAAGATCAAATAATTGCTAAAAAAATAAGTTGGTGAGAGGAAGATAATGATCTAGCCCGAGCCTCAATTCTATTTAGTATGCAAGATGATTTAATTCCCCTTTATGAAGATTTAAAACTGCTAAGGAAATTATGGATGCACTCGAGACCAAGTATGGTCCTATATCTGATATGCATATAACATTGCTATTAGATAAGTTTAATGGGATGCATATGTCCGAGGGTGATAAAGTGGTGGATTATGTACTTCAAATGGAATTACTTGCAAAAAATTTATCAACCGCTGGATATCCACTTACTGATAAGATGCAAGTGACCATTATTCTTAATGGCCTACCAAATTAATGGAATCATGTGGTTACTTCTTTGACCTATGGAGGAAATGATCTAACTATGATCACATTAATAGCATTATTGGCACTTGAGGAGGAACGAAAGAATAGAAAG